TGTACTTGAAACGCTGGTAGTGGCTACCGCTCTTACATCAGAAAATATAGCAAATTTGTTGAAAGAAGATTTTTTAAAATGGTCACTAGAAGATAAAATCGTATGCGTAACTACCGGTAATGCAGTCAACTTTTTAGGTGCATGGCATATTAAAAATCATGAATCTACTTTGTTTTGCCCACAGCTTAAACCTCGCTGTTCGGGATGCTCTAATAGGAGATAAGAATAAAGAAAAAATGTAAGGAAATTGTAACACACTTTAAAACCTCAACCAAAGCTTCTGATAAACTCCAAGATATCCAAACCAAACAAGGAAAAACGCCTAAAGGAGTAACTCAGGAAATAGTAACTCGTTGGAATAGTTATCTAAACATGATATGAAGATTATCATATGTAGATATTAAAAGAATTAAAAGATGATGTAGGAGTCGCCCTTATTTCACTACCAAAATCTCTTTTGCCACTGACAGCTGAAGAAATTGTAATTTTACAAGAAAGTTGTAATTGTTTGGAACCTTTTGAACCAGCAACTAACACGTAACAGCTTCTTGGGTGATACGTACAGTACGTTAAAATATCTTCAGTCGTTACAATTGTTCATGGACTTTACGTCAAGCTAAAGACACTAGAAAATTCTGTTATTACAGAATGTAGTAAAAAGTTATTGCAATTATTAAAAGAAGAAGTAATCAAAAGATTAAATGGTTACGAAACACAAACTGTATGTGGCATTTAACGATTTTAGATCCTAGATTCAAAAGTCCTGCTTTTCGATTCAAGGAGAACCACATAAATTTTTCAAAAGCAATAACAAATGATAATAAATTCAACTTCAATGAATGTCGAACCATCTGGACTTGAAAATGAACAAGAGAATAAAGAAATAAGTCTAAATTAGGGGTCCCCAAACTTTTTATCTCGTCGACCCCTTTATAGAATATTTGCCTTCTTATCAACCCCCAGATTACGTATTTAACAAAAACATTAAATCATTTTTGCATTTCTGATGTTAAACGATAAGGAGACCTGTATAACAACTCAACAAAAGAATTTATAGTTCCTATATCTTACAAAATCCACCCAATAACATTAATAGAAAAAGGAGATATTTTCCACTGATTTATAATCTTAAAAATAATAGCAAAATTATGGATAGATGGAAATTTGCCTATAGTTCGTAAACCGAACGTGTCATAATACGTAAAACACACAATTATCTTTAAAAACATAACCTAAGTTATATTGGATGAAAAAACCTCTTACTGTCATTTGGCGACTACTACTGAATGCCTTAAAAATATGTTAACATGCCTTTTTATTAAAATAGTTGATATTAGTGGGATGGATGTGTCTGAAGAGAAGCAGCAAGATTATTGATATGCAGTTGAAAATTGGTAAGTTTTCAACCGAAGCAAATCACCACGGTTTACCAAGTTCAATCTGTTCCTTTGTTTTGTCAAAATTGCGTTCGCGTGGCTAAAACCAGCTTCAGCCATGTATGAAGTTGGGAATGCAAGTAATAAAGGTTCGGCTTCTGCTTTGAGCTTAAGATATTTAGTGGCAATATTGTTATTGCTCCAAAATTCGCTGAGGTTTTTATTTTTAAACAACGCTATAGTTTCGAGATCTACACATATTTCACTCAGTTCATCTTCTAAGCCTGGTTCACTAACTTCATTATCTATTTTTACATCAAATGGATTAGCAAACCATTCGGGAACGTGCATATTCTCCAAGTCTTCGAAACGTGCGAGTCTTTAATTTATCAATATGTTTAATATATATCTCCAAATTACGGTCGGAAATTTTTTCATTTTCTTTCTTTCTTTCGTCTCCTCTCCGGTTCATATGGAGATTATATATTTCATTTTCTTTTAGTACTCGCAAGTTTGAAAAATATTTAAAATTGGATCCATTTTTACTTGACAGGAAATTATAATTGTTCGAGCTTGAACAATTGTAACGTTTTTTCCTCGCAAACGCTTATGTACTATATTAATGATTTTTGATTTATTACGATATTTTCTCTGTAAAGGACAAAATATTTACATTTAGATATAAAATACTAAGTGTGACAACCCTACTAGAGTGTAACAGTGCAACGTAAGTCTGTGTATAATGAACTACCAGCGTTCATAATATGTTTGTAACACTAGTACAGTTGCCAGATGCGCGAAAACAGAGTAACACATGCTTAAAGCGGCGTAGACTAAGGCAAAACTCAAGTTATAACTAGGGTAGTCAGTAATGTTGTTGATCATATCCGTATTTCGAATTTTTATTGGAATATTCTATTTGTTTTTCCTAGATAATTTAATTGATCCTTTTGGTATTAATCGACTCCCTTTCGATCCTCGTGTATTAATCGACTCCCTTTCAACCCTCCTGTATTAATCGACTCCCTTTCGACCCTCGTGTATTAATCGACTCCCTCGCGACCCTCGTGTATTAATCGACTCCCTCGCGACCCTCGTGTATTAATCGACTCCCTTTCGACCCTCGTGTATTAATCGACTCCCTCACGACCCTCGTGTATTAATCGACTCCCTCACGACCCTCGTGTATTAATCGACCCCTGGAGAACTCTTATCGACCCCAAAGCGTCTATATCGACCACTTTGAGGACTCCTAGTCTAAATAATGCACCCGATCGTTTTGATTTTTTAAAAAAGAGTAGACATTCACCAAACATAACTCAACAGCAGACGGAATTATTGCTTTCCGGCATTAGATATCGATAGTTTCTGACCATTAGTTTGGAGTTTAATCTAAAGGCAATGCAACTCAATGGTGATCTTTCAAGGACGGATGCCTTTCGTGAGGACTTTATGGAAAAATGCCTTTATTAGAGGCATTTTTCCACAGGCATTTTTCCACAGGCGAGGAAACCCAGAAAAACCTCACGTGGTAGCTTGTTGACTCACGACCAACTACTAGTGTTGTTCAGTGGCTTTATCCACTGGTGGACATCTTGTTCGTGATAATATATATATATATTTATACATTAGTTTAATTTTTTAGAGATGAATAATAGCTATATTAAATTAAATAATATGTATATAAAGAAATATTTTTATCTTTAAACTACTGAATTTTATCATATAAAATCTTCCAAAAAATAAATTTTTTTAAAACAGGATTTTATGTTCCTCTTTATTGATTTATCATTTTATTACTTAATTATGTTAATTCCTTAATTAATGTTACTTAATCTTCCTGCTGTATATAATTAAGAAACATAATTAAAAAAGCCTTCCTGGCCTTTTTCTAAATATACATTATGAGTTCTCCAAGGCCCTCAGTGGGATGGTACTGTGGAGACGTGCACGATCTGACAGATTAGGCCCACAAGTAGATGGGTTGTGGTGAAAAACAATATATACGGATCAAATAATTCATATAAACTTCTGAAATTTCACCCCTGAAATTTGGTTCCTCCCAGAGAAGTAAAAATCTTGGCCATCGCCATGGAAAAATTATAAATACTACTATCATTTAATTGCATAAATGAACATAAAAATACAACGCAAATTACAAATATAATTTATTTATACAATTAAATGTAATCCCACCGGCCATGGTTTTTTACTACTTTTTATCTAAAATGTATTATTGTGAAACTAGCAATAGCAACAAAAGACTATTTTTTTTACCATATTTGCACTTTAATTACTGCGGAAGCAGTAGCCTCTAAAGAAAGGTCGCCTTCGTACCTGCGATTTTTATCATTTTATTTTAATATTTATTTATATAATTAAATGTAATCCCGTCGGCCATGGTTTTTTACTACTTTTTATCTTAAATTTTATTGCGAAACTAGCAATAACAACAAAAGATTATTTATTTTTACCATATTTGCACCTTAATTAATGCGGAGACAGTAGCCTCTAAAGAAAGGTCGCCTTCGTACCTGCGATTTTTATCATTTTATTTTAATATTTATTTATATAATTAAATGTAATCCCGTCGGCCATGGTTTTTTACTACTTTTTATCTTAAATTTTATTGCGAAACTAGCAATAACAACAAAAGATTATTTATTTTTACCATATTTGCACCTTAATTAATGCGGAGACAGTAGCCTCTAAAGAAAGGTCGCCTTCGTACCTGCGATTTTTATCATTTTATTTTAATATTTATTTATATAATTAAATGTAATCCCGTCGGCCATGGTTTTTTTTACTACTTTTTAACTTAAAAACTACTATCATGTTTAAATTCCTAAATAAATTTAAATAATTTATTTCGGAAATTCTTCTAAATTACTAAATTCTAAATCCCGAGATCGAATCTAGGTATTTCTCATAGTTATGTCGGACCTCGTCTCTCACCAATAGTGGGCCTGGCCTTACCAATAACTGGTATGAGAAAAAAAGGCCCTCTTAGTGCCCAATGGGCGGAAAGAGTTAAAAGTGGGAGTTGGGAATAATACAAAGACTGGATTAGGGATAACAAAATCGTTTTTGTATGTTATTTTATTATTAAGGGTCACCTTAATTCTATTTTAATAACACTACTAAAGTAATAAGGGTGGAAGACACAACAATAAAATTAATTCAACCGATGATAAAAGGTTTATAAGTTGAGCAATTGTGCTATATCGAAGGACCTTCTTTATTTTTTATCATAACAATATAAGTTCTATTCCTAACAGAAGAGTATAGAGTATATTTAGAGGATAGGGTATAGCGGATATTTAAATGCGAACAATAAGTGGGAAACAATTATTATATGGTAAATTATAGACTTTGTTTAAATCAGTTATTAACAACGCTTGTTATTTTATCATAGTTATGGTAACAAATGTCAACCACATTAAGTAATGTAAGAGAATTATTCTCAATTATTAGTTAATCACCTCGTGACTTAGAAGATGACATGTACAAACTATTATGTATTGTTCACGCGCAATCTACCTTTAAGAGGTGGCCATGACAATTTTTTTTATGATGATAAAAAGATAATATGAAAAATTCAAGACAATTTTATCACGTGCTTACTTTGTGAGGTTTAGCAGTAAAGGTGAGGCTTGTTACCCCCTTAGTGGGCCTCAATTTTTGAATGGAATGGGACCACTTTTACGAAAATCGTTAACACACGTCCGATAATAATGCTTGACCTCTTTTCCTTTTTTGAAGATAAGCCACCGGGAGTCTAAAGAAGTGTGAATTAAATTTAACTTTATTTTCTAAATTAATCTATTTTTTGTTATTTTCCATTACCAATATTTATATATTATATTTTTTCGTAATTTTAGATAAAAAATACGAATTGTTTTAATGGTTTTTCTATTACGTTATTAGTTATTTAATTTTTATTTAATTTAAGTTATTCCTACAAAATTTTACTTTAATTTAAGTATTAAAATATAAAAATTACTAATAAACATTTTTAATTAAGACAAAAAAATTGCGCATAAAATTCAAATTTTATAACTTTTATTAAAGAAAATCAAGTTAAAATATTAAATATATCTAATAATTCCACATTTCAGTAATAAAGTATTAAATTATCCGCAATTTAATATTGAAAATTCAAACTTTATACTACAGAAATTATATTTAAAATTTATAAAATAATTATTTTAAAATGTACCAAATATTATTGAAATATTAAATTTTATTAATTTATATAAATTAAATTATAATAAAGAGTAATATAAGACACTACTGACCTCCTAAGTCTGTTAAAATGCTGCGAAAAACTGATTCATAAGCCCTATCCAATGAAAATAAATAGTTCCCCCTGGTGATAATGCGCAGAACTAAAATTTACCATTCTATGCTTTTTTAGTTGTCATTCTGGATTCTTATCGTCTTTAATAATTGAAAAAATATTTAAACTATAAATCACAATTTTCTAAAAATAAATAAATATTTTTATAGGACATCCTTTTCCATTATTAGTCAATAAGGGGATGTCCATTAATTATGCGTACAGTTTAGAGGAGGGTGGAGAGTCACAAAAAATACGTCACTGTACACAGTGGAGAAGGAGGTATTTTCTACGTGTATTTTTTAATGGTGTAAACATTTAGTCTCATAAGCCTACTTACTAGCAGTTAGAAAATGCAGCCTAACCTGCAATAACGGACACCTCCCAACAACGGTCACAGCTGTAAACAGAAACTTTTTGTGTTTTTAAATAAAAATGCATACAAAATAACCTCCATACAAAGTTTATTTTTTACGTTCCTGTCAGGTGGTCGTTGTTCAGAGGTTCGACTGTAGAACTTTTTTGAGTCATTTATTTAATGTTAGGAGAGTGTATTAATTGTTGTACGTGTAATTAACAGGTAGGCGTTTGTCAAAAGTACAGTATTATACCAGACAGGGAAGGAGGGATGAAAAATTATACACGTAAGTAATGGCCGGCCTTTTATGAATGAAAAACAAATATCCTATGCACAGGGCCGTGCGGTAGATTTTCTAAGTTTGATGCAAGTCTTCGAAATGCCGCCCCTTATATGTTTTTTTGCCGCCCCTTATATAAATTATTAGTCTTATATAGACTATAATTGTTATTATTTGGTGTATCTTACCAGGGCCGTGCGGTAGATTTTCTAAGTATGATGCAAGTCTGAAATTCTGCCCCTTAAATGGTTTTTATGCCGCCCCCTCACGGTGCCGCCTGATGCGGCCGCATCTCTACATCATAGCACGGCACAGCTCTGCCTATGCAAGTCAACGCCACTTCATAGTTTGTAAAGTAGTTATATTTGTTGACAAGGACATATTTTAATTTATAGCAGTAAAATTATTAAATTATTGCTGCAAAATTGCTTCATTGTTAATTGGTTGTGTGCATGTTTATATAAATTACGTAACGAATATCATAACCTGAATAGTTCACATAATGTATTTTAAATTATCATCATAATATTTTAAAAAATTAATTGTTTTTACACTTCCTGTTTAACAGTTCCTGTTTTTTGTTTTAACACTTCCTATTTAACAATTAATTTATCATTTTTAATAGAACATTTGTAGAGTTAGCAATAAAAATCAATACGACATTAACAATGAGGATCAGTAGAATCAATGAGGATCAAGTAGGACTTTAAACAATGATCAGTGGGATCTAACAAATGATGATCAGTAGGACCTTAACAATGAGGATCAATACGATATTAACAATGAGGATCAATACGATATTAACAATGAGGATCAGTGAGGCCTTAACAATGAGGATCAATCATTAAAGTTGGTAAAAAATAATCTAACTTATTTATAACAATTTTTTTCAATAATTTCAATGTTATTTAATACAGTTTAGTTATAAAATTTGTGAATTTCCTATTTAAAAAATTATATTAATATCTTTTTTTCTGGGAAGAAGAATTTAACTTTATCAAAAATAAATAATTCCCCTTATAATTTCCTTTATATATCCAATTTGTTGGCGATTAATTAAAATTTTATATTTATTATAAGGGTTTTTGAACTCTTAAGTAGGACAGATGCATGGATTTATAATTTATTTATATCTATATCTACTATAATTTAAATATATTGTAAGTGTACATCACATTCAGATTATGAAATTTTTGCGTATATCTCGTTCACTGACATTCTATTATTTTAATAAATTACAATTAAATTAAATTTATTAATTAAAATAAAGATATTTTTAAATTTTAATTACTATTTATTTATTTATTTATTGAATTTCTTTATTTTCGTAATTCGTTATTAATTGTTATTTTTCATTGTTTTAAATGAAGTTGTTTGAAGATTAAGGCCATTATCTTGATCTTGATATGTAATTTTAATAATTATTATTTAAATATTTACGTTATAATTTAAGCTGTGTTATTTTTTATGAATGAATTCATTTTTTAATAAATAAATAAATTCATCTAAGAAGAGCAAATAAATAGAGGAAAGGATATATTCGTTTAACTGCACCATATCGCGCTTAAGGATCAAATTTTCATGTTGTAATTGTTCAACCTGAACTTCAGGAAACTATTTTTCTTTTTCTTTTTAAGTGTTTTTCTCTTTACATATAGGAAAAAATCGAGTAAAAGAAGCATAAAATATTACACTAGAGGGGGGAAGGTGTATATTTTTCCCCGTGCCTAAAAAAATCTCAGTGATTTGGTTAGTGGTAAAAAAAACCCTATAAATTTAATTTAACGAACAAAAAAGAATTATAGGAATTTCATTTGTTTAAAAGACAAATAAGGCCCCATACCAAGCTTACGATGAACTTGCCTAGAGGTTCCGTAAGTCCTTAAATTCGCCACTCATTTTAAGTATAGTAGACGCCTACATTTATGATTCAGTGAAGTAATGAATTCTTGGAATCCGTCGTAAAACGAGCCGTCCTATTTCTTACGATTTCTGTGTCCTAAATTGAGATCAAGTTCCTGGAAATCATCGTTTTTCACTGTGTGGGGTAACCACACACAGATAGCTAACAAAATACGGCTGTCATAGTATTAAATTTAAATCAGTGGTAAAATGGGGGTTGCAAAGTAAGAAGTGGGATAGCTCATGTTTTGATAATTTACTAGCAATTCCGTCTTTTTATTTTTTATTTTTTTCTATCAAATTTAATATTATGATTTATCTAGCATCCTCCTTGATCGACATATTTCCTTTCTTTATAGTTTATTTTTTTCTTATAAAGAAAAACAAATGAAGTGTTATGTAAACGTTTCTAAATTAGCCAGTGGCAAAGTACTTAACCTTTATTGTTGTATTGCTTGAAAGCCTGTAACGTTGACATCATTTTTTATAGATTAAATTCTTAATTATTTGTTCGAATGAATGTTTCTTGTAAAGACAATGGCAGTTCGTTCAGGCTTCTCAGCGTATTACCGTATTTTTTCGTGAAATTTGTGTAATTTTAAGCTTAAAATGTAGATACCGGTATATAAGATGCATTTTTTTCATAAAAAACAGTCTTATACACCAGCAGCTTCGATATTTTGCATTGTAACTACGATAAAACAGCAGTTTATGTACATAAATTAGTAATTAAATCATAAATTTATAAATGCAAATTTTTCCTCTTGCTTTAAAATTTGAATTTAAATCGAAATTTATACAATTTTTACTGTAATTTCTTATAATGAAACGAATTACAAGGTATAATTAAAAACTATAATTATTTAGTTATGTAAGTTTCTCTATATTACGAAATTTTTGGAAATATCAAACGTAAACCGGGAAAACTCCATGCTTTTTAAGTAATTAGAAGAATTACAGAATTTAAAAAACACTCAACTGTGACGTATATAACAATTGTAAGTTATAAAATTTTCCTGTTGATAGTTAAACAAAATTAAATATTGCAAAATATACTTTTAACAGTAGAAAATTTGAAAGGATGATCGTAATCGAGTTTTAATATCGCCCATAGTAAATCTAACTAAACGAGATAAAGAGATTTATGGAACATCCTGTACGTTTCGCAATGTACAGGATGGTCCTTAAATCTGGAATCATGAGCATTTTACAGGTAAAATGATAAAGACCAAAATAGCATTAAGTAAGGGTTTCTGTTTGTTGGAATATGGCAACGCAACAAGTGGGCGAACTGCCGAGGGAGTGCCTCCCAGGAGGACTTTCTATGGGAAACTAGCCCCCATTTAGGTATTACAAACGTGAAAACAGCTGTTTCACCCACTCGGCCATTGGTGGGCCTTTAAGTGAGGTGGAATGAATTTGTGTTATTTTGGTAATAGGTAACTACAATCATCGGTGAAAGCTTGAAGCGTTTAACATCTGTATCGGACTTCACATAAAACGGTTTAGATGCAGCCTGTTTAAAGTAGAATGATAATCCAGGACTAAGCAACTTCTCAGAAAGATAGTTTCTTGTTGCTCTTTGAGCGATGTTAGCGCTAACCTAATTTACAGTAAAACATAAATAAATGTATAGTACAAGATAGCCCACAAAACAATCAAATCAGACGTGTAGACTGAGGCTGCACTTTATTAGGCTACTCTCTATTATATGGGTTGCAATTTAGGAAATTTAGTGTGTGTCTGTAATCACGTGCCATGTCCACACGTCTGATTTGTCCGATTTTATATGCTATCAGCTGTCTGTGTCCGGCATTGCTCAAGCTTTTGAGGGGTGGGGATTGGTGAGGTTGGATTGGAAGAGGGATATTAAAACAACGTTCTCAGTAATTAAAATGTACATTTATTGAGACTAGTATAGTAGACCCCGCTATAAAACGGGTTGATATAATATGGATTCGTATATAATGGCGAAAAAATTGCGATCGTATTCGTATAAACACGCTTAAAGATACTCGTATGATACGGTAAAACGTCATCGCCGACTCGTGTCGCGACAGGATTAGTCGAATCTAGACCAATAGCGGATATTGCACAAACCGTTAAGTTTACACGAGCAGCGGATTTACTAAAAACCATTTATTATTTAACGTCCATAAAAATTATATTTCTATTAATGATGTCTCCAAAGTTCAGCAAATTTTTCGCAGAAAAATAATTTATCAGGAAACACGCGCCCGCCGTTCGATGCGCCGCTCCGCGACGAAAACAAGCTTAAACAATGGCGTCGTCGAACGGTGCACACTCGGTAAGTAATCCTACAATTTTTTGTTTATAACATAGTTTATATGGATTATTCCCTAAAAATTATAGTGTTTTGGAAATGTTGAGTCGAATTAGTCTAGAATCGATTAATTTTATAGAAGAAAACCTTTCAAACAGCCGTAGTCCGTAAAACTGAATACGTACGGG